AACATATAAAGCCATTTATAACTCTGCCCCAAATTACATCACCAATCTTGTCTCCAAATATCACCCAAACCGTCCTCTGCTCCTCCCATGACCTTCTGCTCTCTAGCTCCCTTGCTTCCTCCTCCCATGCTCGTCTCCAGAGCCTCCCCCTTCCTCTGGAACTCTCTACCCCAATCTATCCGACTATCTCCTACTCTACCCACTTTTAGGCGATCTCTGAAATCCGATCTCTTCAGGGAAGCCTATCCCATCTTCAAATAATAACGGAATCTTCTATTCCTCATATCAGTTCTTTCCCCACAGTTATTACCTCTTGTACCACCAGTTTCTCCCTCTTAGATTGTCAGCTCCAAGGAGCAGGGCCCTTCTAACCCTCTTCAGTCTATCATGAATGCTGCTGCCAGACTTATCCACTTTACTAACCATTCCATATCTGCCATCCCTCTCTGCCAATCCCTCCACTGGCTTCCCATTGCCCAACGAATAAAATTCAAAACATTAACAATAACATATAAAGCCATTTATAACTCTGCCCCAAATTACATTACCAATCTTGTCTCCAAATATCACCCAAACCGTCCTCTGCTCCTCCCATGACCTTCTGCTCTCTAGCTCCCTTGCTTCCTCCTCCCATGCTCGTCTCCAGAGCCTCCCCCTTCCTCTGGAACTCTCTACCCCAATCTATCCGACTATCTCCTACTCTACCCACTTTTAGGCGATCTCTGAAATCCGATCTCTTCAGGGAAGCCTATCCCATCTTCAAATAATAACGGAATCTTCTATTCCTCATATCAGTTCTTCCCCCACAGTTATTACCTCTTGTACCACCAGTTTCTCCCTCTTAGATTGTCAGCTCCAAGGAGCAGGGCCCTTCTAACCCTCTTGTATTGAACTGTATCGTTGCTGTATTGTCTTCCTTTTATATTGTAAAGCGCTAAGCAAACTGGCGCTATATAAATCTTGTATCATAATAATAATAACTGAGGGGTGGGGAGGGTGTCCAGTGTTTACCTTTACAGAACAAAATTACCTGGAGTGCAGCCAATTTGCGCTTACATTTTAATTCTCTAAGTGTTAGAAAAATGGAAGATGAAAGCTGATTGTTTTTTTGCGATGGGCAGTGGCACCATTTGAAAGAACTTGCACTGCATGGAATCCTTCCTGTATGTTAAAGTGGTTGTAAAGGCTCAAGGTTTTTTTACCCTCGTGCATTCTATGCACGAAGGTAAAAAAAACCTCTGTGCAGCAGTGCCCCCAGCCCCCCCAATACTCACCTAAGCCTCCTCTCAATCCAGGGATGTGCACTGGAGTTTCGGCTATCCCGGGACTCCCTCTCCTCATTGGCTGAGACAACAGTGGGAGCCACTGCTGTCAGTGTCAACCAATGAGAAGAGAGAGGGGGCAGGGCTGAGCCGCGGCTCTGTGTTTGAATGGATACACACAACAGCGGGTGTCCCTATAGCAAGCTGTTTGCTGTGGGGGCAACCAACAGGAGGGAGGGGCCAAAAGCGCCTGGGGGGACCCGAGAATAGGAGGATTGGGTCTGTTCTTTGCAAAACCATTGCACACAGCAGGTAAGTATGATGTGCTTGTTATTTAAAAAAAAAAACCTTTTAGAACCTTTTAGTATCACTTTAAGGCATGTGTCTGTTTTTTCATAATCTCATTGGACTCAACTGAAAGCAGCTGTCACCTTTTTTTGAAAACAATCATCCTTATCCTGATGTGTTAGCTGTGTGAATTGAGCCTAAAAATACACCTTGTAGAGGAGAGACAAGAGCAGTTGATAAAACCATCCGACCTGACATCATAAGTATCAAGGATTTTATATACTAGCTTAGTAGATCAAGAGGAATTACTCTTGTAATGCTTGGGCTTTGCCTTCAAAGCTGTTTAAAAAAGCTGCTTATTCATTCTGTGTGTGATCTTAATACTAACAAATGGAAAATGCTTGTTAGGCCAGTTTTCTCAGTGTGACTACCTGAATTTACAGTGTTGCAGCATTAATGCAGGATGGTAGATGAGGTATAAAGTGAAAGGAACATATTTAAGGCTCATTAACACCAGTAGGGCACATTGAAAATATTTATTTTCTATGTGCCCCATTCACACCACAATGCTGTGTTGTGATGTTTGGTGTATTGCAACGTGGAAAAAGGCAGCATATCTGCATTTTTCTGCAACATTTAATGTCACTACACAGCAGTTCAATGCACTGTGCTGCCATGCAGTGACATGAAGGCAGTGTTTGTGACACTCCATACAAAGCTGGGGGAAAAAAAAAAAAAAAACAAGCAGTGTGATGCATTCAAATTCTCTAGCTTGCACAATAAAATGCTGAATTTTACCATGCAGGTTAGTTGGAACCTAGCCTTAAAGGATAAGTTCACCTTCAGCAACATGTTGTATTCCATCCATTTTTAGGGAATGTTCTTGCTCATGCAGCTCTCCCCCCAATCCCCCCTCCCTGTCACAGCAGGCTGGGGGATCTTCTCCCTACACTCACTGTCACAATTTGTAAAGAATGTGGGAATGTGGGGCTCCGCCCACACGGCTGTGTCATTCATTCAGAGTTCTGTGAATGAATGGACTACAAGTATCCACAGTCTTTGTGGCTGATGGCTTGTAGTGTAGTTTTAAATTAACTAAAAGGGCGCACATGGGCATCTTTTGTAGTTCATTGATTCTTCCTGGAGTGAAGAAACTGCCTGCCAGTAATGGAGGTACGGGCAAACAGCTACACTGACTGTCTACAGGAGCCTTACATTGCACTCACGATCTGCTGTTCTTGGGTGCAATGCTTTAAAGACTGCGATGTAAAAACATAATAAATGTACATTTTTTTTTTTTCCCCCCTGCAATTTTTATTTTTTGTAATTGTGTAACCAGAACAGCAGGTTCTGCAGGTAATTACTTACTTTATTGAAATTTCCTATCACTTCGTTCTTTCCTCTGGTACAGGAAGCGAAGGGAAATCTCCCAAATGGAGTGCAAGCTGCAAAAAATAAAATGACAGGTTTTAAGCCTTCTCTACTCCTCTCCAAATCTAAAAAGAAACATTTTAGCTATACATACACATGAAAAAAAAGTCAATTCACATTTTTTACCTGCACAAAATGTGAATCTATCCTTAAAGACACTTTTCATATATAGTCTAATGTACTCATTTACACACTTAGGCCTCATTTACAATGACACTGTCAACCTTATATTTATATGCATATTATAGGACATTTCTAAATGCATGTAATTATTTTTCAATGGCACTATTCACACTTTAGTTTAGGTAAACTCGAAGTGTGAGTGGCACCATTGTGCATGCTCACCCCCGAGCTGCCTCTGTGTCTGAGGTACACTGAGCGAGGCTCGGCCACACCCCCAGCTCCTGTTTGTCCATGATCCAAATGGACACACTAATGGCCACAGCAAGCTAAGCATGGTATGTTCTCTGACATAGAGCCTCATCATACATTTAAAAGCTGTACGAAACTGGAGAATATATCAATGTACCAAACTAGAGAAAAGTACAAAAAAAAAGTTTTATAGCAATTTTTTTAAACTATGAAGATATACTTGTGTGTGGAATTATTTTTTTTTTGTTTTTTTTAGCATGAACATTTTTTTTTTTTTACTGGCATATGTACCGTTCTTTGTTCTGTATTGTAAATCTGGTATTGATTTGTGTCAGCTGAAGTACAGCCACAGATGTTGGTGTAAAGAAACAATTACCTTTTGACTTCTTGTTGTAGCATTTTGACTCATTGAACTAATCCTGTGCTTTCCTGACATTGGCAATTGTATGAGGTGGGCTGGTGTACCAAAATAGTCACCTTTTCTTTAGTGAGATGCCAAACATTTCTTAATCCTTTACACTCTAAAACTTTAAAGCTAAATAACTAATAAAGCATAGGATCTCCAACTAAAATAATTTATTGCACTAAATTCTTCCTGTTTTTGAACCTGCAGCCAGTGTGTAGGTGGAACATTTTGCAGTGACTTGGCCATTCATGTCAGCAGTCCTGAAGGTTGTGTCAATGGATGAAAAGGAAGGGTTATAACCTTGATCTCTTGACTGCCGGTGTTGGCATGAAGTTCTGAGAATTGGTGTGTATATGTGCCTAGATTGAGTATGATCTTTTGTGAAGAGCTGGACAGAACAACAGTAAAGTATCAAGAAGTTTGCCCATCGTGAAGGCCGTGTACAGAGAATGGGCTTCTAATGAGCTTGGCTTCCTTTCTGTTTTTTGTGTGCTTGTTCTTGGACCAGATGCAGTTTAGATGCACAGTGTGCTTTTGAGTAATTACGCATTGCTTTAATGCTTAAATAATGTGTATGTTAATCCAGTAAATTTTGTTTTAACTGCTACTGACTTTTGCAGTCAAATATAATGTAAAAACTATGAATATAAATTCTTAGCGAACAGCTAGATGCAATTAAATGCCTTTTTTAAAAAAAATCATATTGCAGCAATTACACCAGTGATGTTCACTGTGCAGTTACAGATATGAATGTTTATCATGACATCTCAAATGAGCTTGTTGGCAACCCTAAATTCACAATACATCTGTGGAAAACTGTAAGTCTGTAATGCTGTATTACTGCTCAGCTCCAAGTTCTCATAATGAACATGTATTCATGCTCACCTAATTTCACAAGCTGTCCGAAAGCTGCAGGTAAAGGCGTATGACATCTAATAATTTTTCTGCTCCTTAAAACAGACATCAAAGGCTTTTTTTTTCAAGAAATAAGCTTTTCCTGCTGTGGACAGTATGTTGCCATTTAGAAGATTTAGCAGCAAAGTGTGCTTGTTGGAATTTAATATGTAATACATTGTTGTCTCCTGTTAATTGCAAGGATGTGTCAGAAATCTTGTAAAATGTGCTCTGCAGTAGCTGCTATGAGCATTCTGTTAATTGGTGCAAACAACACTACCATCTTTGTTAATTTTTCTCAAGCCGGTTTAGTTGCACTTTTTTTAGTGCCTATGTGTGTTTTTCAGATTTGAGTTTTCAAGCTGCCTCCAAAATTTCCTCCACTCCACCTTATGAAGCTTTAAAAGTTTTGCGTGATATGTGCCAGAACTTTCCTATCAAAGCAAGGTAAGAACAAATAAAATAGTAGTTTTCTTCTGTGTTAAAGAAGTACTTGAGGCAACAAAAATCATTCAGTGAACTGCTAATGTTGTCCAGTAAATGTTGCACCTCTGCCCCGCCACTCATCCCTCCTTACTGGCTGTGATTGATAGCAGCAGGAGCCAATGGCTCCCACTGCTGTCTTTGGGCCAATAAGGAGGTTAAGTGAAGACAGCCTCTGCTCTGGTGCACAGTGCTGGATCGAGATTGGGTTTGGGTAAGTATATGGGGGGCTGGGGGTGGGAGTTGCATGCCGAAGGTTTTTTTTACACTAATGCATAGAATGAAAGTTTATTTTAACAGGTTAAGGTATATGTAAACTCAACATTTCATATTCCTAATCTGTGCCTGCTGAATCATGTACTTGTTTGAAAAAAGTATCCTTTTCTATTTGTGTTGCTTCCTTTTGTGTGAAATCCCTGGTGTTCCTGCCACCCCCTCTGATTTCCTATTAAAAACTGACCACACTAAGCTGGAGAACACACCGTGGTCAGTTCTCTAGCTATGCTGGAAACTCAGCCTGCTCTCCTCCAATGATCAGACTTATCCTGACACTCTCTACATGGCCATTTTCATTGGCCAGATGATGTTACTTCTGTGCATGTGGGTAAATTTATTCATCTCACCATGTGCACAGCTCACTGTACAAGCAGTGGGTAAATGTATTCATCTCACCATGTGCACAGCTCAGTGTACAAGCAGATGAAGAACATTTAATGAAGTAGATATATAGTATGCCTCTTCTGCATTCAACAGCCTTTTTTGTGACATTTTTTATCCCAAAGGTTCCACTTTAATGCAGAATTCCAGGATTTCAACTCCTTTGTAAAAAGTAAGGGCACACTGCGACTCCATGCACACTAGCGGTTTTTTCTAAGCTCAAAAAACTGGTAATAGCATTTTTTAGGAGCGTTCAGAAGCATTTAGGAGTGTTAGCATTTTATTAGCGTTTTTACAGTACACGTAGAGGGGGAAAAAAAAAGCTAGAAAAAAGCTGTTAGGAGCGTTTTAGTAGAATTCAGCAGCATTTAGGAGTGTTTAGTGTTTTTTTTTTTTTTTTTTTCTGCTGGAAAACCCTTCTTCTTTTTTTTTTTTTTTTTTTTTTTTTTTTTTTTCTGCTCAAAAAATGCTAATAGCCAAAAGTAATGTGCATAGACACATAGAATAACACTATTTAGCTTCTAGGAGCAGAACAAAAATGCTAATAACCGCTTTTAGGAGACTATAAATTGAGTCTAGCGAGACACCTCCTGGGCTTATGTCTATTATTTACATCTTACAATTTATTTTCTCTGCTGAGGATACACTGTGGGACTTGTTGGACTTACCTCATAGTGTGCCTTCGCTTTTTTACAAAGGAGCTGAATTCCTGGTGTTCAGCTTTATGATAAATGGAAGAGAGCTCTGAAATTTTGTAGGACAATCAGAGGAAAAATATAGAGTATACGGTCTAAGCTGGAGATGCTGGCAGCCAGTGGTGTATTTAGGGTTTGTGCAAGGCAACACAAAAATCGGGTGCCCCACCACGGAGAGAGCCTGACATTGACCAACACCCTGCCCACCCCCCTCCTGAGAGAGCCAGCCTTCCACTGACACCCCCCTGATGAGAGAAAGATACTCCCTTTCACAGCTGGGCACATCCCCGAGAACAAGAGCTGGGCTCTCCATACACCATCAAGCAGCCCACAACCTCTCTTGGATCCCACCTGGTCCCCATGCCACATGTGTCCCTTCTTCCGGGGGGTGATGCCCCCCTAAAAAATGCCGCCCTAGGCAAAGGTCTTGTTTGCCTTGTGGTAAATACGCCCCTGCTGGCAGCCACAATGCTTCAAGAACTTGTTCTATACATGGAATGTGTTGGAGGTCACTGAACACGTGTCCATCTTCCTGTTTTGCTGGTAACCGCTTCATGGAACTAGCATAGTGTTCTATAGGACAACCATGAGAATGCCTAAACATTTGTAATTGGAACAATTTTCTGGACGAAGTGGTGCATTATCTGACAGAAATGCAGGGGTGCCAAGATTTTTGGCCATGACTGTACCTATTTATAAAACCATGTTTTGCAACCATCACAGATTACATCATACATTGGATATAAAAAGTCTACACACCCCTGTTAAAATGTCAGGTTTCTCCTTTATTACTTTATTTATCTCTGGTAGGAAAGTGCGTAGACATAGCAGATAAAGATAGGGGAAGTGGAGCATAAACTGGCAGCATATGCAGATGACCTGTTCTATATTGTAAATCCTAGAATAACATTGCCTAACTTTAATGAGATTATTAAAACTGTACAGTGAGCTATCACATTTGAAAAAATAAATCTTGCAGAGTCAGAGATCCTAAAAATTATTAATATACCCAAAGTTAAGAGGCTGAACCTACAAAAAGACTTTCCATTTACATGGAGGAAAAAGGAAATGGGCTACTTGGGAATAAAAATAACTTCAACAAAAGCCCTGTACCAGGCAAATTCCATTCCATTAGTAAACTAAATAAGAGGAACTAGGGAGATTGTCAAAAGGTGGCAATTCCTGGATAGGTCGTATAAACCTGGTAAAGATGATGTGACTACCAAAAATTCTGTATAAGTTTCACATGCTCCCAGTATACCTACTAGGATCTTTTTTCAGGATAATAAAGAAGATAATACTTAAGTTTATTTGGGCAAATAGGAAACCGAAAATTAGGTATGAGGTATTGTGTAGGGCAAAAGGGAACGGTGGTTTAGGCATGCCAGATATTGAATATTATCTGGCGTTGATATTATTTATCACTAATAGATTGGATATTCAATTCACAAGGGAAAGGTTGGGTGAATATGGAAGAGATCCTGAGTAAGGCACAGTTAGGGAAAATCGTTTGGTTACCACATAAATTCCGCACATTAGACGTGAATATTCATCCACTGACACAGAAAATTTTAAGTGTTCTGTAGAATGTATAAGCAAAAGGGATGGAAATATAATTCAGTTATGATTTCCTTGGTGGGAACGGAGTATTTTCTCTCAGGGAATGATAGTATCTCTGGGAATTGGATCAAAGATCAGAATGCATGTTTTTTAAAGATATACTGAATAAAGGGAAATTGCACACTTTTTTTTTTTTTTTTTTTTGATTTAAAGATAAAAAAAAAAGATATATTTTTCACCTTAGATGAGTTGCGGTACGGCCAATTAGGTTATTTTGTTTCAATGCTCCCACAACCACTGAGGACATCGGAGGATCAGTATCCATTTGAGAAACTGTTAAACATGACTATAGTTCCCAAATTGGGTGCTTCTAGGATTTATAAGGTTCTTATGGATACGGTGGGTACTGATCCTCCCCAGTTCTTGGAAAAATGGGAACAGGAGCTTGGATCAAAATTGAATGAGCAACAAAAGAATAATATATTCATATTATAACATGAGGTGATGAATATGAGCACAGTTGAAATTAATTACAAATGTATCGCTAAATGGTATATTACACCGAGTAAGGCACATAAGCAACAAGTAGATGTTTCACCTTTATGTTGGAGAGGATGTGGGGAAAAGGTTACAATGGTTCACACATGGTGGGATTGCCTGAAAATACAGGATTACTGGAAGGGAATATTACAATATATTCAGGAAATATGTGGGATTACTGTACAGAGACATGTGGATATGTTTTATTTTATAAATTTGAATCTTTTAGTAAAACTACACAAGAATAGGGTATTATATCATTTAGTCAGTTTGGCTAAGGACTTGATTCCAAATTTTGACTTGCCCCAGACCCACCAAGCATAAATGACTGCGTTAACAGAGTGGAAAATATCTACAGGATGGAGGAGTTGTGTCATATCAAGAAGGGTAGAATAGGAAAATGTGGAGTAGCTGGTTGATTTTCAAAACCTCTAAAATATATCTGGAACTGGTTGGAATATAGGCGAAAGAGTAATAGCGGGAGTACCCAACAGAGAGAAGGAGATAGAGGGGAAGGGATACAGATAGACAATCATGAGAAGGGATAGAAACTAGGATTGTATGGACTAGGGAAAATGGAGGGGGGGGGGGGGGGGGTAAGGGATAAGATTATGTAAATTGCATTTATGTACTGGTGAAGTTTTTTCTTTGTTTTTTTTTCTTTATGTGTGCACTTGATGCTCTTTTTGTATTGGAAAAAATTAATAAAAGATGTTGATAAAAAAAGTCAGGTTTCTGTGATGTAAAGAAATGAAATGAAGATAATTTCAGAGCCTTTTCCACCTTTTAATGAGACAACTCAATTGAAAAAAAACTGAAATCTTTTAGGGGGGGGGGGGGGAGTAAACATAGATATGTTTGGTGCAAAAACACTGCACATCACCGAAAGAACACCATACCCACAGTGAAGCATGGTGGTGGCAGCATCATGCTTTGGGGCTGTTTTTCTTCAGCTAGAACTGGGGCCTTAGTCAAGGTAGAGGGAATTTATGAACAGTTCCAAATACCAGTCAACATTGGCACAAAACCTTCAGGCTTCTGCTAGAAAGCTGAACATGAAGAGGAGCTTCATCTTTCAGCATGACAATGACCCAAAGCATACATCCAAATCAACAAAGGAATGGTTTCACCAGAAGAAGATTAACATTTTGGAATGGCCCAGCTATAGCCCAGACCTGAATCAGATCGAAAATCTGTGGGGTGATCTGAAGAGGGCTGTGCACAGGAGATGCCTTCGCAATCTGACAGATTTGGAGTGTTTTTGCAAGGAGGAGTGGGCAAATATTGCCAAGTCAAGATGTGCCAAGCTGATAGACTCATACCCAAAAAGACTGAGTGCTGTAATAAAATGAAAAGGTTTTTCAACAAAGTATTAGTTTAAGGGTGTGCACACTTATGCAACCATATTGTTTTAGTTTTTTGTTTTTACTTCCCTCCACCTAAAAGATTTCAGTTTGTTGTTCAACTGAGTTGTACAGTTTATAGGTTACATTAAATGTGGAAAAAGTTCTG